ATATATATGTCGGAAAAGCATTATTAGGGGCGTTAGTACAGTCCGTTGGATTCGTTTATTCAATTATTTATTAATTTAGAATAATTAAACTATAACACTGATCTAAATTTTGAAATATAATGTACGCTAACTTGTATAAACAATACTACGATTAATTATCTAAATATAATTAATATACAAGGTAAAAGCGCTGAGGAATAAGACCGAGAACGAATCTGAGGTCAGCAGGATATATGCGATTTTTACTTGATCAATGCTCAACGAGAACTATCCGTCTAAGTATCCTAAGTACTTCTCTCTAAAATATTTCGACAGCCCTCATTGTCTGTCGATATCTTTAACTGTATACTTTTTACTTCTATCCTGTGACCTCGGCTACGTTTGGTGACCATTGTCACTCCGGACTCAAGCCCATCGCCATAACCATAAAAATTATAATCGGCTTAAGTTATAAATAATTATTAAATATTCTATGCTTTACAATTTTGCTTAAAACTAACAGACAAACTGAAATATTGGGAATTTCCTATCTCTGGGAAAATCCAGCTCGATATTATCTCCGACATATATATATATCGGATATAACGCGGCTTGTCACGACGATAGCATCGCCAATTTACAACGGATCTCTACTAAACTCAACATACTTATTCTACAGATAACTACCAAAGTCAAGTTCGAAGATGAGCTTAATCGGTCAAGTAATTTAGAAATACCAGGATTTCAAAATTTTGAAAATCATAAAAATTCATATTTTTTCACTTTTTTACTCGAATAACTTTTGAATGCGATAACTTATTGAAATTCTGTAAAATGCATCTGAAAGCTCTTTAAATAAGCTTCAATTTGAGTACTATATCATATGTATAGTCTCAAAATTATGTCCTATTGCGCTATGCCAATTATGAAATTTGCTATTGCACTGGTTTTAGTATTTTTCTGTCGATACATATTTTTGTCAATTGCATAGAAGTTAGAAGCCCTAGTTTTGTATACAATCCTTGTTATATTTTTTTTTTATTTATGATGAAATCTACTTCCATTTCGGCTGCCGAATGATCTTTTTTTTATTTGAATAAAAATTAATTTTTTGGCTTCGCCTCAGCTAACAATTACAGATGATCTGAGACATTTCTTACTTTACTACCCCATATATGTAATATACTAATTGCCAGATAAAAAACAAAATTAATATTAATTAAATAAAAAAAATATATATACTTACTATCAATAACTGAAATTAAATTACTAATAAAACTGCTAGATTTCTTTTTCTTTCCTTGCTCATTAAGCCATAGTGTAAAAGTAGAACAAGCTGCCAGAGCCTGCAATAAAGAATTTAAGAAGCACGTGTATCCTAAATTAGAAATACCAGAGACTTTTCCTAAAATAAAAAAGAAAAATTAATTATTTTAATTAAATCAATTTTAATAAACCAAAATCAATTTTTGTTATATAAATACCCCGTTTTCTAGGTCTTGGACCTGGGCCCCACAAGACGAAAGCACCAACAGCCAGGGCAAAACCGACCCCAGCAACAATCGCAAGTCTCTCGACATCCATCGTTGATTGATTGACAATTAATAATAAAATTTCATTAATATAAATATAAACAATTCACGTATTTTTTCCGCACTTGTAAAACATGCAGAAATTTTAATATACTGAAAAAGTTTTTCACGTAAAATTCACTTCGGTCATATTTTAAATACTTTTAATGACAGTTGTCGATAATAATTAATATTTGTTATTGATAATCAACAATCAAGTGATTGAATTTACATCAACTAAAATCATTATTTTGTTATCATTTTTTTACTATATAAATTCCAGTGAATTGAAGTGAGCGTTTGAATATTTGACATTTCGATTCTGAGGTCGAATATTGAAGTATCGGTAATTTTTTTACGTGTGAATAGACACTTCTATCGAGAAGTTAGCCGCGAGAATCGATCAGTTCAGAATCGAGTTTTCAATTGAAACGAAACAAATGAACAAGTGCAAGTGCGCATGTCTCATTTGTATAGTCTGTGCTGTGGTTGTCCGTGGTGGTCGGTTTTCATTTTATCAGATGTTTTTTTAATTTACAACTCTTTTTGTTTAGTTCCCAAACAAATAATCCTAAAATTGCTTCAAGTAACAGGTAATTATTTAAAAATTACGTACATTAATTTATTTCGATAAATAATTTACTTTAATTACATAAAATTGCAGAACTAACCAGTGGGTAAGAAAAAATAGGCCCGCAGAAAATATTGTCTACAAGAGAGAAGGAACGATCAGTTGAAGCTACAACTGGAAGAAAAAAGAGAGAGAAAGAGAGAGAAGTAGATGATGAAAATATTCCCACGCTCTTGGGGTTCTTGGGTTACAAGTGTACGTATCATGTGCATGTGAAATTCCAGACTAAAGATGAACGCATCAGGACAGGAACGCGGGCACGCTGTCGTCGTGTGGGAGTGGGAAAACCGACAGTCTCGTTGGAGACCTTACAGCCCCGATGTATCTCAGCATCTCGAAAGAGCCCATACCAAAAAGTTAACTAGGGTTTATCTTCATGATGCCGATCCCACCCTTGATAAGTAATTGCACTTTTTTTATTCAGTTGTTTTTTTTTTTTTTCATTCATTCAACTTTAGATTCATTCATTCATTTTTTTATCAGGTACTCCATCAATTTAACAAGCAACACTCAGTGTAACGATGATGGGACTGAAATTCATAATGTACGCCGACAACTTTATTCACCAAATTCACCTGCTGGCAAAGGTGCTAAATGGGAATGGGCGGGAGACTCTAATGATTGGCATACTTATGATATGGAAGTTCAATGTTTGATTGAGGAAGCCTGGGCAGCTGTAATTTTTATTTATTTTTCTTTCTGATAGCGTGTCTAGTAAATGTTGAATTATAAATAATTTTCAAATTGTGGGCGATTAAAAGAATTTAGTTCTCGTATATTTATGACATTTTGTTGTTAAAAAAGTACTTAAACTAGAATTTTGTTAAAAATTTGCTTAGTAATTTAAATTGTTTTGCTGTTGACTAGTAAATTATTCGTCTGAGCAAGTAAAAAATATTTTTGAAAGTTGAATTTTATTACTTTAAGAAATTGATTAACGGATTGAAAATTTTTTAAGAAACTTTCTAATACTTTCTAGACACACCTTTGATAATTTGGCCTCGTTTTAATTTAATGTTGAATTATTTTATTTTATTTATTTTTTAGGGAAGTAAATCAATTGATGTATCAAAATCACCCTTGGGATTTCCATACATTATAAACTTTCTTAATTTAACTCAAGTAAGATGCTCAAGCGGCTTCGTAAGAAAAATACGTCGTGTTAATCAGGCTCCTTACCCTCTAGTCAAAGTTGCTCTTGAAGAACTTCCGTCTTCTGTTGGAAGTGGACATAAATCGTCAAATGCACTTGTTAAGCCTCCAAGTAAATTACCTAAGAAACAACCTTGCGGAAGCAGCAGCAGTAGCACTAAAAAAAGTAATAAAAAGGTAATGATTTTTATTTTCTTACATTCAATCAATCTAGCTATAACAATAACTTATTATTTTATTTTTTTACAATCCTAATAGAGCAAAAGCAGCGACAATAGTCCTTCGAACATAGCGCAGTATAAAGATTTTTCTTTTATTGATTTCTTTATTTACAGATGTCGAAATTTTGTTTTATCTATTTTACCTTAAAATTTTTCAACCGGTACGAATCAATGACGCGCACTGTATGATGTATAAAGCCGATTGGCGACTATTTCCTGATAAATGAATAAATAAATAAATAAATAAATAAAAAAAAGTCGATTTTTCAAAGCCGTGAAACCCATGTAACCCTTAACCAATTAATATTAAATAATACTAACCTGAGTATTGCGTTTATTAGATTCAGTAAATGTAAATGGATCAAGTACAAAAATTTCAGGAAATATCACCGGGTCATCGCGTTTAATAGGAATCCCTGAATTGCTCCATGTCGTCCGAGGAATGTGAAGACACAAGCATCGAGGTAATTTACCCAGTGTCAATGTTTTGATAGCTTCACAGCGCGATGTACATCCATTGCATTCGACGTTATGTATCACTTCGCTGGTGACAAGCCGCGAAAATAACTCAGAAAGTGTATGTCGTCTCCATGTGAGAGCTTCACTAGCTGGAGGTAACGGTAGAGAAATAGTTTCCAATTTATCATAACGCACCGCTGACTTCCAGTTGCAATTCGTGCATTTTAATTGACTTGTGAGTAGCCCAGAAAATGGATGAGTTTCGTGTGACAAGACACAACTGCTTGTTTGAGGAATAACGCAGAGAGAGTTCCAGTTTTTTGATGGACTCTGCAAGTCCATCGAGTCTCCGAGTGCTCGGCTTAGTATTTCCGAAGAGCGAGCAAGAATCACACCTGGCTTGTTAAAAAGGGAAAAATGGGGAATGGATCGTGTTGATAAAGCTAAAGAGTGGTTTGAATTCTTGTCGAGGCGATCTATGTTGTTGGGATGTGCTTGGACTCGAGCAATATCGTTGCATGAGACACTACGTAGCGCTATGGAATCACCAGATCCTTTGACGTCTGGCGCTACTTCTGGTCCAGGAAGAGCATCAGAAAGACAACCTTTCTGTAAATAATTAAAAATAATTCAATAGATATGATAATTGTTATTTAATTAATTAATGTAATTTTGATATTAAATTTACTTACTCGATTCGGAGTTTGAATTTCATTTTGCAAAGCGCTCAAAATTACATGAAATAATTCATGAGCATCCTGATGACCTGGATCAAAATTCCACAATGGTCCTAGAGATGTTATAACTTCTATTGGAGCAACATCATCGTACAAATCTTCAGAATATCCATTTATTCCTTTAAAATAAATTATGTAAAATTTTTGAGCTTAACAATTTATTAATAGTTGCGTTATAAAAAAAAATTTTAATTATTTTTTTAAAATAATGGTGAAGGTTAAGTTGGAAACACTATATAATGTATAACGATCGGTACACATGTATTATGACTCAAATTGATTAAATTAAGTAATATTAACTTAATTAAAGTAATATTAATATTCATGATAATAAACTGTTAAAATATAAAAATTTCAAAAAAAAAAACTATAAAAACGATACTTTACGATAATAGATATTGTTACCATCCCTTATGACAAAATGAAAATTAAACTGGATGATGTGATAAACTAATTAGATCACTCGAAGTTCTTTTCGATGAAAAATAAGGTAACCAAGCTAAGGAGGCATCAACACGTCAATGCTTATTGAACAGGGACAACAAAACCCCCCTAAGAATATATAAATCCCAGAAAAATGGCAAACTTTGTAAGTCTGCAGACAATCGTTTCAAAGCAGATTACTCTGCTGGTCTCTACCTATAATTTGGAAACTTAGAGGCAAATAGTATCACTACTATTCAATTCGGAAAAATTTCAGAGTCAAAAAATGCTAATCCAATTAAATAGTCACTAATAAATTATAAAAAAATTATGAGCGACCTTTTAAAATTCACATTTTGAATTAAAACTTTCAGGAGAACCTTTTTTTTTGGTCTATAAAATTATGACGTAACGAAAAAAAAAATTAAAAAAAAAAATTCGATTTTTGAAATTTAAAAAAGTTTAGAGCGACACCTTAAAAATTTTTTTTTAAGCTGTCCTTTGGAGAGAGCTCTTAAAACATCAAAAACTAACATTTTTTCACTCGAGGCTAAAAAAAAAAAAAAAAATAGTCGATTTTTTTGCGCCACCCTAATCACTACTATTTTCTGACCAATTTCATATAAATTTATTATAAAGTTTTACTAGTACGGTAAACCGTTCACCCGAATTGGGGCTAGTTATCCGAGTTATCAGTAAGCTTTGTCACCCATGTTAATATCAATTAACAACCCCTTGTTAATATCAAGTATCAACCCCTCGCTGTAGAATATGGTACTCAACCATATTATTAAGACAATTAACGATATATTGTGTAAACTCAGTGTATCAGCACTATATTCCTGCAATTGAAGATCACACTTCAATTTAACTGTAAGTGATTTTTATAATATATCTCTTATTGCAATGAATTTCAACGAATTGCAACGAATATAAGACATAAGAAAACGAGGTGTTCATGAGTGCTTATAATTCGAATAATTTGGTGATCACCAAACCACCCATCCTTCCATCATACTTATCCGAGACCCCCTATTGCCACACTAAAAAAAAAAATTCTTGACTGGAGTGTAAGAAAATATTAAGAAAGGTTGAAAATCTCTTGAATGAGGTCAAAGTTTCTTGAGCCAAAAAAAATTTTTTTTTTTCCAAAATAACTTTCGTTTTCCTAAAAATTTTCTTGGCGCAAAAAATTTGTTTTTTTGTGCACGCGAGTCATTTATCGGATTCCTGATTGGTACAATCCGCTCGGTACTGGTTAAGGTAAGTCAATAAAATAGATTGGAATCAGCGAGATAATGAGCGATTAAGAGATTGGAATCTCGTAGTTTAAAAATTAGGGATCTTCATATCTGATCATAGTAGCCTCGTGTGATAAAAAAATTAAAATTATTGATTTAAGTATGTAAACATAATTAACGTTACAACCCTCCGTTCGTGACAAATCTAACACTTGGTTTGTTGGATTACAAAAGAATTTATGGTTTTACGGTTTTTAGTAGATTTCATAGAAATCTAACTATTGCATTGGTCCTCATGACGGAACTTTTAAAAAATTTTGCTATATTTCGACTATACTCGTCGAGCTGAGTCAGAAAATGCATATGGTTCAAAAGTTTATATATATATATAATTTAATAATTTTATTTAATCAACTGCCAGGCGTGAGTTCGAATTCCAAGCTGGTCTTAGAAACCAGCTTGGTTGAGATTTGACCTTGCCGCGTAAGTTAAGATTTTTTCAAACCAAAAAGACCCCAGCGTACCACTCCCAACACTTAAAGTCGGCGATATGACTAATTAACGAAAAATAAAAAAAATTATGAGCGACCTTTCAAAATGATCGATTTTGAGCAACTTCAACATCTTTACCAGTAAAAACACCGAGAGCAATTCGACTCCTGTAGATGAGTCATCTAACAATCGCAAGACATGGGATACTGTTCTGGATGTAGACTCGAGTAGCACCAAGAGTGGAAGACGTCCAAGTGTCGACACAGTCTCGACTTATCTGAGCCATGAAAACCCAGTAGATCTGCTGGACAGCAGTGTAGGAAGTGATGACGCTTTCAAAGATTCTGTAGCCAACGTCGAGCGTACACCTGATGTTATTTCGCAGTATGTCAAAGTCGTCGAGAGCGAGGGCGGAGACTCGTGCCCAGTTTGCTTGGGCACTCCAGAGCCGCTTACTGTTGAACTCACTCGCTGCCATCACAGACTTCACTTAGCTTGCTTGAATGCTATGTTGAACACTCAAATGCAACCTATGTACATTCAATGCCCGGTTTGTAGATTGATTTATGGAGAGAAACGAGGTAACCAACCTGCTGGAACTATGAACTGGACAACGATTCCTCGTCCTCTTCCAGGATTTCCTCATACTAATACAATTCAAATTACCTATGAGTAAGTTGAGTTAATAATTTATTAATCTCTGCGAGAAGTTTTTCTAGTTTTAATTCTCGAGAATGAATATTTAATTTCGGTAATTATTTACAAATGGGGTCAACCCCATTTTGGGCCATATCTAGGTAAAAAATGAACATTTTCAAATTTTTTTAGTCTGCTCGTTTTTACAGCGCATTTGTGATAAAAAATATCGTGAAAGAAAAAAATAAAAATTTCGATAGCTTTTTGCCTTCAAAAGTTGGAAAAAATTTTGGCTCTTGTTTTTGGATAAAATTTCTATTTGATCTTTTTTTGATGTTTTTAATATATATTTTTTTAAATAGTACATAGAAAAACGAACAATTAAAAAAAAAAGTTGAATATCACATTTTTCTTAAAAATTTGTAAAATTTTAATTTTATACAAGAAAAACCCGCATTAAAACTCACACATAGCCGCCCGAAACTAGATTTATTTGCATATATCTTAACATAAATTTCAATAAATTTTTTCACGGGAATTCCTACGACAGAGTTTATTTTTTTTTTTTCTTTAATATTACATTAAGAAATAAAAAAGAAGTTTTTCATTAAAAAAAATTAAGAACCCAGAATTTTTTAGATTTTTAATTTAAAAAAGTTTCTCGCAACAAAAAAAAATCATTTATGAGAAAATCTTAATAATAATTATTCTTACTCAAGTAGACTTGTGCGAGAAACGAATTTGAATTTTCAGCGTCAATTATGTGATCTTAATTTTTTTTTGAAAATGTGCTATATAAAAAAAAACAAAACAATTAAAAAAAAATGGTAATTATTTTCAAGTGGGTCCATCCTATTTTTGGCCATATCTAGGTGAAAAATGAACATTTTCCATTTCTTTTTATTCTGCTTGTTTTTATAGCGCATTTATGATAAAAAATGTCGTGAAAGAAAAAAATAAAGATTTCGATAGCTTTTTTGCCTTCAAAAGTTGAAAAAAATTTTAGCTCTCATATTTTTGAATAAAATTTCGATTTTATCTTTTTTCGACGTTTTTGATGTATATATTTTTTTAATTAATAAAAAAAACGAACAATTATAAAAACAAAAAAATTTTAATATCACAATTTTTTTGAAAATTTGTAAAATTTATTGAAAATGGGATAATCAACTTTTTTTTTAATTGTTCATTTTTTATTTATTTTTCAAAAAGAAAAAATATATTAATAAAATCAAATAAAAATTTCATTCAAAAAAAAAATTTTAATGGTTGTAAATATTCACCTTAATTCCATCAATTAACTTGTAACTAATCTGTTTATTTTTATTTACAGCATTCCATCCGGTATCCAAGGACCAGAGCATCCAAATCCTGGTCAAGCTTTTTACGCAGTTGGTTTTCCTCGTGTTTGTTACATTCCTGACAACGAACTTGGCCGTAAAGTATTGACATTGCTCAAAATAGCATTTGAGAGACGTCTTATCTTCACAGTAGGTCGATCAGTCACAACCGGGCGTGAAGATGTTGTTACCTGGAACGAAATTCATCATAAAACTGAACTAGGACCATCAACGTCTGGTCACGGGTATCCAGATGTCAGTTATCTTGAGAGAGTTTTGTATGAATTAGCTGCTCAAGGTGTTACAGATGAACAAACTACCAATAGTCTTTATCAAGAGTTACAATAATAATAATGACCATAACATTATTATTATTATTTTTTTTTTTAATTATTTTATTAGCTCATTATTTTTCATTATTAAATACTAACAACATTTTATTATTTATATCTCATTTGTAATTGTTTGGCAATATTAATTTTATTACTGAAACGAACTGATAGATATTAAATTATAGAGTTAAAGTACATATAAAATTATTTTAAAGTTCTTTTTATTTTCTCAAATAATTGATAAAGTTCAAATTATAATATTAGGTACAAAGACAGATATAAAAAAAATGTATTCTCGTGTTTTTGAATTTATTAGTTTATTAACAAATAGATTATAATAAATTAAAATAGTATTAACTATATGCTCAGAATATTTATAATAGTATTATTATTCTTTTGTAATCTTTGTGTGTTATTATAAAGCGATATAAATTTTTATGTGAAATTTAAATTTATATAACAAATAAATTAAGTACTTTTTATTTATTTTAATAATTTATTCATTGGAAATTATTTTACGACACTGAAGTTGACAGACATTAGAAATTTTTTTTAAATTTTATAGCAATGAAATTATTATAAAAACAATTTAATAAAAAAATTCCATATGTGAAAATTAAAAAAAAAATAATAGTGGAAATTTTTTAAATCATTTTTATTATTGTAAATGATTTGTTATAAAAATTAAAAAAAATTGACAGCTGTCAGCTAATTTCAATGTATTATTTTGCATACAATTGAAATATTTTTATAATCATGATAACATTGATAACTATAGATGGCGCATTTTTCATAAAAAATGGCCGAAAATTGATTTTCCTTTTTAATAAAATGCCACAAATTATTAATAATTTTTGGATTGAAAAGACAAAAATATTGATTTTTAATTATTTACCGAATAATTAACAACATTAAATATTCAAGATAAATCTAGAATTATTTAAAATTAAGTAAGTAGCATAAAAAAAGTAAACAAATAAATGTCAACCTTATCACAAGCATGTATTTTGCTGAAGTTTATTTACGTTTTTTTTTTTTTATCAATAAAGGTTTAAATAGTTAAGTCGGACAACAAAAGTCCGGCTAATTATACCATCAAAGTGGAGCACAAGTGCGTTCTCTGTGAAGCTTCTCTGGAGAGTAAAGAAGCTCTTCAAGTGCACTTCAGGTATGTTTTTATTCACTTATGTCAAATCATAATATAAATACAAACTTAAGCTTACTTATTTAATTTATTTTATTTGTTTAGAAAACATGCTAATAAAGAAATTGATGCACGTGGTAAACCATTTGCCTCTAAACCACCACCAACGGCTAATGATTCAGCGTGTGATATATGTGGAAAGAGTTTTCAAACAATAGCAGCGACAATTAGACATCGGTTTAAAATACATCCTAATTCACCAGCTAAATTTTATTGTGGTTATTGTGGTATGCAATTTCCACTAAAGGTAATTGATAAATTAATTTAATTTATTTCCGGCATACAGATCTATAGAGATGCAAGAGCATGTGTACATAGAGCTAAATATTACAAAATTATCCTATATTTTACAAAATATTTAAGAATATATATAAAAAATACAAAATGCACAAAGAGTTAGATATACTAATATTGCATAAATTTCATATGGAAGTGCTTTAAACATAATACTTGTAACACAGAAAATTGTACTATTACAATGACAGATTCGTGATCCAAGCTTTTATCTTATAGCTTAGCGTTCTTTTTACTACAATTTAATATCTTAAGATTATTAGGTAAAAGGTTAAAATATTTTATAGCAACATAATGGGCATGTTTTATAGAGCAAATCTTTTAAATGATTTTTTTAGCGTTTCAAAAATTGATATGAATGAATTGAAAAATCTAATAACATGCGACTTATCTTAAAAATCTATTCAAATCCTGACGATTATTTTTTTTTCAGTTCGGAAGAAAATATCTTCTTTCTACTTACTGCAGAAGTACACAGAGAAAAAATTTTTTTTCAAAAAGTAATCATTGATGTGACAAGAAATTAATTTGTTTAAAATTTTGAACAATTTTATTTCTTAGCTGAAGAAATTAAAATTTTTCTCACAGTAACTTTTTTATTGAAAAAAAGTTTATTTTATTTGAAAAAAAACTATTTTAGTAAACGTTCTTTACGCTAATCCTTTTTTTAATTTTAAGAAGAGATATCGACTTAAATTTAGTTCTAGATTGTTTAGTATTGTATAGATAGATCTTTAAAATCTTGATAGTAACGCATTAGGGCTTTTAATAATACAAATAATTTTATTTTAATTAAAAAAATTTAATTTTTATACTATGATCAAAGCGCAACTTTGAGTAATTTTAATGACTCTTTAATATAACTTAAATACTCCCTTATTAAAAATAAGAATTATCTTTTTAAATTCACCTAAAAATTCAAATTTATTTTTCTATAAAATAATATTTTATGATTAAATTTTTTTTTTATCACTCTCAACTTTAATTTTCTTAAAAATAACATGCCTAATTATAAAATTTTTCAGACCCACAGAGATGCACATGTAACATCACACGATACCTCGGACGATAAAAGTACAACGGAAGAAAATGAAAAATGTGAAGAATGTAACGTTGCATTTTATAATAAAAAAGCATTGAATTATCATTATAAATCAGTCCACAAAAGGTAATATTTTAGTATTAATAAATTTTTTACCTTAAAAAAAAAAAAAAAAAATTATAATTAATGACTTGAAAATAAATTACAGGCTTGTACATATGTTTCAACCAATAGCCACACCACCTCCTAGTAACAAAATAAAAGTAAACTCAATGAACGACGCTCTTAGTGTTTACTATTGTCATCTATGTGGCGTAGAGTACATAGTAAAATTCAATCTTCAGCAGCATTTAGAAAGAGTCCACTCGCCAGAAGAGCGCGAAGCTGTGCCGAGTGATTTAATTAAATGCACCATGTGCTCTGCGTTTTTTTACAGCAAAAAAGCTTATGATACCCATAATAGTTACCATCAACCAGATGATCTCTATGTCACCTCCGAGGAGCAAAGGTTGCAAACAATTACTAAAATTGATCAGGATTTTGATATTCGTAGAGTTAAGCCGCGCACTGAGAAATATATTCCAAAGAGTCTACCTCGAAAATCGAGTGTAAACAGACAAAATTATAGTACAGTTAATGTTAAAGTAAAATCTGAGCCAGAAAATAATTCTAGTGATTCGGAAAGTGATATTCCTTTGAACAAAAGGTTAAAAAGCTAACAATTAAATGGGAATTTAATTTTTTTCAAACACCGTACTTTAAATTATTTAATTATTAGATTTAGACCGTAGTTTTATTTCTAGATTTATATAATTATTAAATATTAATGAATAATTTTCACTAAAAAAAAATTGTTTTTGCTGTATTAGTTTTTTTTTTTTCTTCGAATCTTGTGTTTGTATTCATGACAAAAATTGTTAAAAAAAATATTAACAAAAAAAAATAATTAATTTGAAATGAAAATAAAAATTTTTTTGTACAAATGAAACTGTCATTTCTTATCAAAAATAATTTTTTTAATTTTTTATTTTTTTGAACAGAAATAATGTTTCGCGCGTTATTGCGCGCGCATTTGAATTGAAGTTATCAACTTCCGCTGACAAAATAAAACCCGGAAGAATAAACTTCCACCATTTTGCTACAATACTTTTTACGTGTGCTCGATATGATCATGTACATTTATAGCCTGTGAAAATTTACTAACAAATTTTAAATAAATAAATAAATTCGTCTAACAATAACGATTAGAAAAAAATAATAATAATTTTATTTATTTATAAATAAATAAATATGGGACGTAAGAAGAAGAAGCAGTCAAGACCCTGGTGCTGGTATCCTTTTTTAACTCGAATACTTTAAGAATAAAGTGATCTAAGGTTTTAAAGTTTTTACGTAACTATTTTTAGTACTCAGTAAACATATTATTAGCTTAAAATAATCACAACAATTGTCTAACAAAAAGAGTATTATTTTTTTTTTTTTGTTTATTTGTTTAAAATTCGGTCATATTTAATTGCACATTGCGTCACTTGTGTTTACTCCATTGACAATTATTATCATTATTACACTAATGCAGTAAAAGTATGTAATACATGTCACTACTGCAGTACCAAATATTAGTTCTAAAAATTTGACATAAAATTTATATTTAAAATATTTTATCTAACATGTTATTCCTTAATTAAATTTAATCAAAAGGTATTGCAATCGTGAGTTCGATGATGAAAAAATTTTAATTCAACATCAAAAAGCCAAACATTTTAAATGTCATATTTGTCACAAAAAATTATACACTGGCCCGGGATTAAGTATACATTGCATGCAGGTAAGCATATAATTTTTACTCCAATATTCATACTAAGAATTATTATTATTGATCAAAGACTTACTGAATAAATAAAGTCTCTATAGCAACTGGATGTAATTTAATATTCAGAATATCAATGAATTGATTTAAAGTTCTGTAAAAATAAACTAAAGTAAATATTTTTTTTTGTAGGTACATAAAGAGGCAATAGACAAAGTACCAAACTCGATGCCAAATCGTAGTAATATAGAGATAGAAATTTATGGAATGGAAGGAATACCACCAAATGATTTAAAAGAACACGAACGCCAGAGAAACGGCGGTAGACCTGGATCGCCAAGTTCAGGAGAAGATGAGCCTGCACAAAAAAAATCTAAACCTGAAGGTTTATTAGGTTCAGCACCTGGAGCAATGCCTACGAATTCAGGGATGATGCCAGGTATGATGCAAGGTATGCCAGGACACCATCCGATGCATCAAATGGGACAATATCCTCCACCGATGCATCATATGATGGGACACATGGGTCATGTCGGTCCTCCATTTATGCAAGGGTATGTATTTAGTTCAATAATTAATATCAACTTTTCAGTAATTAAATAAGAAATTAATTTTGGTAATTATTTACAAGTGGGGTCAACCCTTGAAAATTAATTGAAACTTAAAAATTAACTTTCAATTTTTTTTTATTTTGCTTGTTTTTACGGTGGATTTATGATAAAAAATGTCGTGAAAAAAAAAAATTAAGATTTCGATAGTTTTTTTGCCTTCAAAAGTTGGAAAAAATTTTGGCTCATGTTTTTGAATAAAATTGCTAATTTGTCTTTTTTTGATATACAATATAAACTCGATATAACGACACTGAAGGGACCGTAAATTTTATGGCATTATAGAGAGTTGTCATTAAATAGAGAGAAGGAAAATCAGAATTAGAAAAAGAAAAAATTTATTTCAGACTAAGGTAAAAAACCCAGTTATTGACACTGGCCTAGTTGTTTGATACTTGCAATTTTATTCTAATTGAAAAAATAAAATGTTGTCAAAAAATCAATTATCTTAAAATTTATAATTAAAAAATTATTTTTATTAATTTATCAGAGTTAATTTTTTTTTTTTAATTAAAATAATTGCAAGTGTCAATCTTATTTGGTCACTATTGCGTATAGTCTGTTATTTTTGCATAAACATTAATTTCACCCTCCTATCCTCCATCAATAATTTTTGTGACCCTTGGGGGGGCTTTTAATCACACTCTAGTCCATTGGCTGTAAAACACTAGTCGTATTTATCTAGACACTAACATATAGATAATCCATGACTGCTGACAGTACAACGTACACAGCTACGCAGTTTTTACTAATTTTGGCAACTTAAAGTGCTTTTTATTACTTAATTATTGTCGTAAACTAATCAAAGCCAAGTGATTTCGACGTTTTAGGGAGTTTGTCGTCAAATCGAGTAACGTTATATAAAGTTTACACTGTATATTTTTTTAAAAAGTATTTAAAAAAAAAAAAAAGTTGAATATCACAATTTTCTAAAAAATTTATAAATTTTTTTGAAAATTCGTTAAAATTGTGATAGTCAACTTTTTTTTTTAAATTGTTTTAAATTTGTTTTAAATTGACCCCACTTGTAAATATTTACCTTAATTTTTTATTTTACAATCTTACAATCTTACAATGATTTTTTATCATTCAAACTATTTATAACTAGTATATACAAACAATAGTTTTGGCAATATGTTTTTAATTGATTAATCAATCATAGAATGATGCCGGGTATGCCAGGAATGCCTCCGGGTATGCAACCGCCAGTTTCTGGGGCTTCGATGCCAACGAGGCCGCTATTCCCCGCTGTAGTTTCAACAGCAACGTCATCAGTACATAATTCTACGCCTATCGGTACTGATTTTAAACCAATAACTTCGATAGCTGGTGGATCTATAGGTCCAATAAAACCTACGTTCCCGGCTTACAGTAGTGAATCAACTGTTCAAACGAATAATTCAAATGATCAGAAGGTTAATTTAATAGCGACGACAGGTGCCGCTAGTAAAATAATTCACCCGCCCGAAGATCTCAGTCTCGTAAGTATTAATTTCATCAATACGTACAATAATATTATGATAAATTAATATCAACCGTAAAACTAATTAAAATGATTATAATAATAAAAAAAAAAAAAATAGGAGGAAATACGGGCGAGGTTACCTAAATACCAACGTCGTCAGAACGACGAATCAAATCGTAATTCTGCGAGCGCAGAAGCGTCACACCAAACGGCTGTTTTGCAACAGCAGCAGCAACAACAGCATCAACAGCATCAACACCACCAACATCAACAACAGCAAGCAGCACAACAGCAACAGCAAGCAGCGCAGCAACAACAACAAGCAGCTCAACAGCAACAAGCGGCAGCCGTGAGTGCAGCGGCGGCATTCCAAGACCAGCAGCAACGTCAGCAAGCTGCTCTGTCTGCCTTACAGCAACAACAGCAACGTTTTCAGAGGCCACCACAAATGATGGTACCTGCGACCGCTGCTATTCCCGTGTCTTCCGTTGCGCTCATGGCTCCGCTTATGCGCCCAACGATGACGCTCGCTGCTCCGGCTCTCATTCACGGAGGTAACATGATGCGACCGCCCCCCATGGGCCTGCCACCAGGTAAGTCTCCATCAAGTTAGTTCCAAAAATTTAATAAATCAATAAATTCAATCAGTTTTATATATTGTAGACCAGAATAAATCTACGATATTATACGCGCAATTATATATTTAAATATATTCCATATTTTACATATATAAATATATTTATGTATATTATATATATATACATCACTCTCTTTTCGTTTGATCGTTGACTGCGAGCGTGTATGGTTCCTATTATATTTATCCACTTCCATTGCATCTACAAGGTCTTTTTTCATCAAACATATACATATAATATATATATATATATATTTATATACATGTACCTCTTGTTTTATCAATTTTTTTCTTTTGTTAATAATTGTTCGTAGTACTGCGATCAATTTTAACACTATTTCCTGTCCTATCAGTTGATATTAATAATATTTAATTTATTTGAAAATGATAACATTAACGATTTAACATTTTTTTAACATGTGCATTATCATAAATCAATAATAATGAATAAAATAATAATACTGTGCCGGTTGTATTTAGATCCTGTTTTAAATTGGCTAGGAGAATAAAAGGTCGAGTGAGTATATTTAAAATACTATTATTTTAAATAAAAATAACACTCGGCCGTGAGTGAAAGAGAGCGAGATTGAGTATTGATAGACTTCATTTGGGGATTATTCATTTTTTTATTTTTTATAATATAATAGTTAAATTTTTTTATTACTACTTTTGCTACTACTACTACTACTACTACTACTACTACTACCTACTAAGACTACTACTTCTACTTCTATGGTTGTTATTAATGTTAAATATATAAAATATTAATTAATATTGAAAAATTTAAGCACAATCAGGATTCACATGTATGCAATTTAAAATGAAAAGAATGATGATATATTTAGAAATCCTGTTGACGATTAAACGTATTTCTCATACGTTTTTTTACGTTTTAACGGTGCGTTTGCAGGACGCCCAGTCACTCCTTGGTGAGTGTTGAACAACCCTCGTCTGGTTACTAAATACGTGTTTTATTCAAGTACAACAAGGTTGGTCCTTAGCAAATAGCATGCGGTGACATGGCCTATTATATCTATACATATATAAATATATCTCATATATATTGTTACTTATTATTACTATTATTACATACATACGTCATTACAATCATAAAATTCACACTCTCTCTGCATTTTATTTTCTTTTAATTTTTGTTTTTTTACAATTAAGCAATTATAAATTTCAGAAAGGTTGATAAAATTTAATAGCGCACAATTCTTAAAAATAATTAAAAAATTTTTTAATTAATTTAGAAAAATATCGTTTATTTTATCAAAGTCTTCAAAACTATTCATATTAGTCATATTTTATATGTAGTGCTTCATTATTCAAAATTTTGCGTTCTAAGATTTCCAATTTCGTCGCCCTTTGTGGCGGTATTTAGATTTATTTCTTCAATTTTATCCAAATTAAGAGGACTACAATAATTATTTACTATAAAAATATATCTTTTATCAATTAGAGTTGATTACAAAAAAGTATTATCCAAATAAATCCTATTTAAAGATATCACTTTTTTAAAATTAAAAAATAAGACTAAGAAACGCTTCGAGCTGTAGAAAAATTACAAATTGCTTAATTGAATTTTGGTTATAATTTATTTACTAGCTTTTTATTCGCTCATATCATTAGCTCTTTATTTATTAATGAAAGTTACATTTCTTTTGATAGTTTTTTTTATGATTAACTTATTATTATCATTATTATTTAATCACATCTATAAACAAATAAAATTCACAACTTCTTTCCTATCTGCCAACCGTGTTTATTGCCACAATTCCTTATATTTTGACTTTGAACAATTTTATAGCTTGGAATCCTGGTGTTGTGATTAAAGTAGTTGATGAACGCTTTTATTTACTTAAATATTTATTATCATTATTATTAATAATTTATAAATTAATTTTAATTTTATTTTTTTGAGCACGGGTATCGGAGTCTTCGGATCTCTAACGTCAAAAAATTTTCTTTTCAGTAATTCTATTTTATTTATTTATTTATTTTTTTTTTTAATTAATTAATTAAAAATTTTTTACACAAAACGTGTACGTGATTAATCATAAAAAAAGGCTTTGATTATAATAATCTGCACGCGTCCTGCTTCAATGTTTTCTCCTTGTTTCTAAATTATACTAGATAGATTAATTATTATTATTGTTATCATTATTATTATTATTATTACTATTATAATTATTATTAATATTATTATTTTTATTATTATAATTATTATTAGAATGACTATTAGAAGTTACGCTTTAATTGGTATTAATTATTTATTTAATATTTAACAATTAAATAATTAATGGATAAATGAATAAAAATATCTGAGGAAGAAAAAGGAGCAGAACGCCGAAGAGGACAATACGGAAGAGTCTTAATTTCTTACTAAAAAAATTGTCAGGTACTCGTTTGTGAAAAAGAAAGAGTAAATGGACTCGTTTGATTGCGAGAATGACAGCCGTAAGAATGATTTTATTATTATTAATATATAATTTATAAACAGTTGAGGACAATGGTACGTTTATTTAATTTTTTTATTTAATTTTATTATTTGTTTTTGTTAAATTTATTTATTTACTATTTTAAATTAAATTTAAATAACAAAACGTAACGTAACGTATGTTTATCACATAGCCTTAGCTTTTGTGTCACACAAACAATTTAGATAAGTCGCTCCGACCGACAGTAAGTAAATTATTCACAATATCAAAGTATATTTAATTTATAATAAATAATAATAATAATATAATTAATATTATACGTTTAAATACCATTACATCGAACTTCGTGTGTGGCGGGCAGTCATTTTTATTTTGTTGTTTGTTAAGTTACATTCTCGGGTGGCAGCTTTTTATTTATTTATTTATTTAGTTTTTTTTTTTATTTTTTAATTACATAATTTTTATTTTTAAACAGACGTTTAATTTGTTGGTGTGGTAGCAATCTCGGTTTGATGATGTGAATTGTAATGTATGCGGCACCAAAACTGCATGCTGAACGTCTTAAGCTTTGTTTTTTGTTAATTAATTTTTTTTTTATCAGATTAAAACGTACATTAATTTTTTGGATTCTTATGATGGAATCGTTGGGTAGAAGTAGGTGGGAAAGGTAGAAATATTTTTATTAATTAACGTTAATTACAATTATCCATGTATCCTTAATTTAATTACTAATCCAATTAATTTACATCCATTCCATGTATGGAAAAAAATTTTTTTCACGGCATAGACCCAATTACAAAAGTTTAAAATTAAAAAAATATACTAGTCAGTGTAATACGCATTCACGTGACCCATTTTATGAAACTTTTGACGCCAATTTAATGGTCATTGAAATCATTAAAATAATTGATTATGAAAATATCCTTAATTAAACAATGAAAATTTTTTTTTTAATTTCAATTCACTAAACTTTTTTTATTTACCAATTTGCATTTTTTTTTTTTTTTTTTTTTTGTTTTTTTTTTTTTTTTTTTTTTTTATTGATAACTTTAACTATCATATGGGTGATTCTCTGTAAGGACGTCTTAAATCTGTACAAAATTGTCCGACCAAATTATTTTTGATTTTATCAGAAAAAAAATTAACAAGGGCTACAAAACTATCAGCTTCATGATAATAAATACACAGCCAATGGAATTTTTTTTTTTTTCGATATTTGTGTATCTTTTGCCATATAACATGACAGGGGACTGTTTTTTTTTTTATCAAATTGAGAAAAATCAAGCAAACTATTTCAATGCATTCAACTTTTCAAGTTATCAATGAATATTTACATTAATTAGAATAATATTAAGACTTATGGATCCAATTTTATAAATAAATTATAAATAAAAATAGTTGCCAGGGGACTGAGTTTTGAAGTGGCTCAGACACATGTTTCCAGCACAAACGGTATTTTGACACTAAGTAAAATGGCGATAAAACGCTAACAGCCCTATGGTTATTAATTCAAGGTTAGTTAGGTCCTTATAAACCTTACAGAACATAAAATATTTTTGGCTTTGAACTTCTGACAGAGGACTGTTCTTAAAACACCTGGGACAAATTTTGGTTTAAGGGGGTCTTCTAGTCTAGAGGCTCGAATTTCGAGCGTTTTTTGGCAGTCGATAAAAAAAAGCATTTGATATTTTTATGGTCCATTTTTTTATCAGTTGTTGGAGGGGGGGGAAGGCTGTGTCCTAGTAGCCATGATTTCTACCCTTGTGGTCATCTGAAAAATGAAACAACGATGGATTTTTGATAAGTATAAATGTCGCTCTCGCATGAACCAATAAAAAATGAACATTTGAAATTTTTAACAATTTTAAAAAATTTGACAAAGTTAAAAAATTATTGAAAAAATTGACCTTTCTTTTTGAGTAGCCGCCATTTTAGGAAAAAAATTTTTTTTTTTACTTTTGTTGGTTCACTTATAATAACTTAACTTTTAATCTTAAAGTTTCAATTTTGGGAAAGGGACAGCCCAGGGGACTGTTATTTCGGTAGTTTACGAATTTATAGCAAAAAAATCAAAATTTATTTTATTTTAGTTTTCAATGCTCCAAATAGAAATGATTTTTTACTTTCATAATAAATTTTTTCAGTAACAGAATAACAATTTTTCTAATGAAAAAATGCCTGGGACAGCAAAAAACATCCTTACAGAGAATCACCCATGTATATTTTCTATTGAAAAGAAATACTATTGTTGTGTTACTGGGTCTATTTAAAAATTAATAAATCAATAATACAAAATTCTTTTTATTATAAAATCAAATCAAATCAAAATTCTTTATATCGTAAAATCAAATTATAATTTTTAAAAATTATTAAAACAAAAAATTCATTATGTTTTTGGAAATGAAAGAATTAATATAGTTAATCATATTCTTTTTTTTTTTTGATAAAATGTAAAAAAAAAACAATATATAAGTCGATACAATGCGAGTGCCTTATTTTGTTGAGCATACATAAAATTATTCTTATTAATTAATTTCTCGACTAAATTAAATTTTTCAGTAAAAATATAAAAAAAAATTTTTTTTCAACTTTAATTTATTAAACGAACTTGTTTTCTTAATTAATAAAAGTAGATTCCAATTTTCAACTTTATCATACATTTTTTTATTTAGAAAAAATAATAAAAATTTTTGAAATTAAATTGATCAATAATAGAAAATTTTTTTCCATATAATCCACAGCTGTCACCTGATAATCTGCCACAACACGAAGCCATACTCCATTTCGTAATTAATATAAAATAAAAATAAAAAAAATAATAATATAAAAAAATAGTAATGTATGATTGTGAGACTGGATGAAACAAAGAATGCGAGTGCGTGTACTTAGTCAATTAAACTTAATAATTGATCTATAATTTAATATTATTAATAATTATAAAATAAAAAAAAAAGCAAACGTAAGTATTTTTGAATAAAATCTACACAAAGCGCTAATTTATACACTTGTAATATGGGAAATTAAAAATGGATATTTTAATGAAATAAAAACCAAAAGAATTGCAAATAAATATAATAAAAATAATATCATTTCACGGAATATCATAATTGATTATTTTTTGTGGTATTGCAGGTATGCTCGGGGCATTGCCCCCAGGTGCGATGCATCCAGCATTCGCGACTCCAATGGGATTCCCTGGTGGACCGATGTTAACGCCGATGATGCATCCACGCTTCAGATGATCATCTCAAACTAACGGGCCTAATCCATCACTGCATTTTGTGCTTTGGGCCCAGCCCTGACTTTGTCTCAAGTGAAAAATTTACTGACTCAAATCCATTGATGTAATATAATTATTATGCAAGAGCCGTTGGTTTAAATTTTCAAGAGGACTGTCACGTGCAAAGTCAAGATATCAACGCTACTGATCCTCAGTTAACACGAAGTTAGCAAAAGCCTTTGTTTTTTTTTTTTTTAATTAATTAATTAATTAATTATCAAATTAAATATTGTTACACTAAACAGCATCTGGAAGTAACAATCTGTCATTAATAAGCGTAAAAAGTAATTCCAGGTACTGTTTATCATCCACAGGATGTCCTAGTGTGGACACGGGTGGCGCTTCACGCTGCCGCTAAAAATTTTCTGATTATTTATTGACAAAAATATTGAGCAATTAAAATTTTTTAATATTTTAAATTGAATTGTAGTTGACATTTAACGGACAGAATAACGTTTCGATAAATAAAATAAAATGTTAGTCGCAGTGTGAAGGTTTCGGTTGCCTCAGGTTAGTCTGTCGTAAATATTTTTATTTTGTTAAGAATCATTTATAATTCTTTATTTATTTATTAACAACATTTTTGCTATTATTTTACGTATAAATTTTTGTTTTAATTAATAGATTATTTGAGTGGCGTTGTTAATAAAATAAATTTAGAAAATTGGTTCTTCATTTTCCATTCAAGCTACTAAACGTGTCGACGACGCATGAGTGAGTGGTAAGTACGGAAAGTGCTCACTAAAAGTTATTAAATTTTTTACATTAGAATCACAAAATTTATATTTATCGGTATCGAAATATTTTTAATCACATTTTTTCTTTGATAACAAATCATTTAATTTATTAAATAAAACGGAATAAATTCTGTTAAATTATCGTTACTATTACGTACAAATCTAATAATTAAATTGAAAATATTAAAATTTATATGCTGTGAACAAGTGTACGTACAAAAACTACGCATTGTTAAAATTATTTCATTTTACAAATTGTCTTTTTGAATAACAAAGAATTAAAATTTTTTTCAAATTAAATAACAATAAAATTAAACAATTCAGCAAGACAATCTGAATTATAAAAAAAAATTATGGAAATTCAGTGAGTGTCGCCGATAATATTTATCTTTTTTTAATTTTTTAAAAATAATAAATCTGTGGAAAGTTTTGATGGGTTTAAGCACAGCCTGACGTTTTAGGAAAACTCAAATGAATTAGATATATAATTAAAATATAAATAAAAATAATAAAACGTTTTAAATATCTTAAGGAGTAGTTAAATTAACAAATTGTAATATGCTTGTAAAATATTACACATGTAATTAATTTATTATCTTTAAATGTTTGTATTAGGGTTTTTTAATGAATTAATTTATGTTTTTTTTTCTTTTTTGTTTATTTAAATTGGTTAATTATTAACATGTATTATTTTTATATTGACATATTTCCTGAAACGAGCAGGCAATAGTCTCTTACTGTTTAAAGCAATCACAGCTTACATCGCTGTTGGACCAATTTTTAATAAGCTTTGGTCCCTTGTCTTTTATTTAAAAAAAGACAGGCGATTGTTTTGATCGTTATCATTTTGTCAAGTTACTTGGTTTGTAAATTTAAAAATTAAATACTCATTTAATATATAAATTTTTATCTTTAATACGATTAATAAAATACCGAAGACTATAGTTATATATAAATTGTTCATCAAACAATTAATAATTAACATTCAATAATGATAATATTAATAATAATAAAATTACTAAATAAAATCAAATGTAAAGAAAGTTGACTTGACAATATGAACGAGTGACTAATAGTAATGTAACAATAATCATATTAATAAGAGTAATAATAATAAATAAGTAATTGAATAAAATGAATAAAAAAATAATTAAAATTTATCGGTTATCGCAAAAATTTTATTTATTAACCGATTAATCCAACAATTGTATCTAGAATTTAAATAAAAAAAAATTATCTAATCTTCAGTGTTTCAATTATTCCAAAACCAATTAGTGTAAATTTATTTTGTATAATATTCATTAATTAATTGTATATTAGATTATCCAAAGTTTTGATTTGTTAATTACTATTTTCTATTGTAAATAGAGTGAATGTAGATGAGTGGGGATAATTTTTTTTTTTATTTAGATACAATTGTCTGATGAATGCTTAGCTGTGTGTAATTCTAAATTTTGTGCATATTGCTTGAAATAAATGATTTGACTCCTATAGGGACGGAGAGATGCGTATTGTCAACACCTATGTGCTTTTATAATCAAAAAGATTCATTAATTAAAAATAAATACAATAAAGCAATAACTTTTCATTTTTCATTTCTTGACCTTTCAAATTTACTTTATTTCAAGAGATAGTTAGAGTTAATTAATTTCATATCATATTCATTAAAAAAAAATTGTGCTATTGTTATAATTACGTTTAATTTTTTTAATATTTTTTCCACAAATCTAAAAACTTTTTTTCCACAAAAAGGTTATTGTAAAAAAAATTTTTATTACTTCAGCTGAGAAGTAAAAGTGTTGAAAATTTTCAACAAATTAATTTCTTATTATAACATGGGTTATTTTTTTCTAAATAAATTTTTTTTCAAAGTATCGTGATTCATTTAACTGTCCACGTCAAATGTTTATTATATTAAATTTATGATACTTAATCTGACAGACATTTGGTAATTTATAGGATTTGTTTTTAATAAACTGTGACAAAAAAATTCCATACGCAAAAAATATAAAAATCTATGAGTGTACATTTTTAAAAATAAATTTTTAAAACTAATTTTTTCATTAAATAAAACTAATAAAATTTTATACGACAGTTGATTTCGGTATCAGTTAAACTTTTAAATTAAAAGCCTATATAATCAATTTTATCCAATTCTTCACACAAGAATATATATTTTCAATAATTATTAAGAATATATGTTCTTGTGTGAAGATTTTCTCAATAAAAGTATTTTCACCTTATGATTAATAATAACAATGATAATAGTAATCAATTACTTATAGCAAATTGATATTAAAGAAAAATATGAAAAGAAAGTTTTTTTACGTGTTTAAAAATTTGGTGGCCCTGAAAAGGGCCATTTTTTTTTTTGTTAGGGGAAAGGAATAAAAACATATCAATAAATTATAAATAACATGATGCTATATATGTAAATTACTTCAGTAAATTCGATCTTGATAACCATCATAAGTTCTGCTGACAGTAGGTCTAGTCGTACCAGTGGATATTGGATGGTAAGGATGCTGCATGTGTCTTGCTGGTCTTCGTGATAATGTGTGGGATTCCAAAGTACTCTGCGAGTGTTGAGTCAATATTTTACCCAAGTCAGAAGGCAGTGGATCGGTATAGAAGAAGTCATGGTCTAACGCCGAATCGGCGTCGTATCTCTTACTAGGATCAAGAACCAAAAGTTTTTCCAATAAATCACAAGCGAATGCATCCTTGATATATGTCTTTAATCTTTCTATGCCTCTTTTTTGTTGTACTTTGGGTAAATCAATTTTATTAAATAAATCAAGACTTTTAACACTTGGCCATACTTCTGTTGTAATTAAACCGCAGAATTTCGATATCAATGTCAGCTGTTGTTGTTCAGAGTTACCTTGCATAATCGGAGATTTGGTCCACATTTCAGCCATTATACACCCCGCGCCCCACAAATCAATGGGAGGTCCATAATTTCTATCTCCTAGAAGTAACTCTGGTGGCCTGTACCAAATTGTAACTACACGATTGGTATAACGATTTTCTTTGTCAGATTTACTTGCACTAAACGCTCTTGACAACCCAAAATCAGCTAATTTTAGAACACCATTTTTAGTTATTAGAATATTTGCTGGTTTTATATCTCTGTGTAAAATATTATTACTATGAATGTAATATAATCCATGTAATAATTGCTGCATTATTGTTTTGATATCACTAAAACGAAATGTTAACTTAGTATTGGAGATCAACTTAGCAAGATCATAATCACAGAACTCAAGTACGAGGTGATCTCCGTGTGTCTTGAAGTTTCTGTCTGCTGTGCTGCTGTCTTAGACAATAATGATTCTGTGATCTACTTAATGTATCATATGAGTTTATCATAATTATAATATAAAAATTGATTTTATAATATATTTGGATATTCATAATTCATAATTTATTTATCTTACCGAATTTCATTATAATATAACACTTATTTAAATAATAAAATAAATAATGATTTCACTATTACGTAGTAGCAGAGCAGACAAAACATCTCATAGGAAATGTGACAAATTTTGTATTTCAGAATTATTTAAACGTAATTATAAACATTTTACACTTTTTGTGATTACCAAAAAAAATTTTTTTTTCAAAGAAAAAATTTTTATATATGTTGATTATATATAAGCATATATAATTATATATGAGACTATGTACAATCTTGCATAGCTATATATTGCTCCATATATAGTCATATATAATTATATATATGATTATATATGTTCTCATATACAATTCCATATATAATCATGTATGATTATATATAACTATATATGATTATATATAATCTTGCTTGGCTGTACATTGCTCTATATATAGTCATATATAATTATATATGATTATATATAACCTAATATACAATTCCATATATAATCATGTATGATTATATATAATTTTTTATACTTATATATATTTGTATATGGAACTATATATAATCCTGCATGGTTGTATATCGCTCCATATATAGTCATATATAATTATATATGATTATATATAACCTCATACACAATTTCATATATAATCATGTATGATTATATATAATTATATATGATTATATATAATTCTATATAATTATATATGTGATTCCATATATAATCATATATGATCATATACAATTATATATGATTATATAGAAACATTTTTTCTCGGGAGATAATATGTGGGAAGATAGCGTGTGGATTGAGTGCCTTTGGTGTGACAAATCTCAATTAGTTTCACTACATTTTCATGTTTGAGTGACTGAAAAATCCGTATTTCCCTCAAGGCAGTGATAGGGAACCCTTCTGTTTGATTCTCAATGATAATTTTCTTCATAGCAACAATTTTTGCATCAGTGGTGTCTCTAGCCTTGAACACTTCTCCAAAGGTGCCTTGACCAACTTTACTTATTTTTTGATATTTGGATGATTCACCACAGTAAGCAAAATCCGAGCAAAAACAGTTTCACTGTAAAAAAAACCGCGCCAAGCCCACGTTCATAAGACTTCGAAATAAAATAATTGTTTTTTACAAAAAAAAAACTTATTTAATTATATCATTGCTGAATCTTGGTTTGCGCTGGTCATATACTCATATAGTTATCTTATTTTTTCATACTTGCATTCGTACTATGTTACTATTTGATTGCATTACATTATATTATTTTATCTCTATAACATAAAATTTTACTTTGTATTTTATCACTTAAGTATTTATTTATTTTTCTATTTTTCTTTTATGTATATACTAATGTATTCTCTCACTCCAATGCTGTAAGAGAACCTCTTTCTGTAAGCATTTAACAATAAATAAAAAATAAATAAATAACAAAAAAATATGAAATCAAAAAAACTCCAAGTACTGTTTATAACTTTATTAAAAACATGAAAAAAAGTTAGTAGCAAGTTTAAACCTTAATGAAAATCTTTTATAACGTACTTGGCATACGTCATTGAGTACCCCGAAAATTTTTTCGTGAGCGATATTAAATTTTATAAAGTTCTTAAGTTCTAAAAATTTGGGGTATTCAATGACGTATGCCAAGTACGTTATAAAAGATTTTCATTAAGTTTTAAACTTGCTACTAACTTTTTTTTCATGTTTTTAATAAAGTTATAAACAGTACTTGGAGTTTTTTTGATTTCATATTTTTTTTGTAAAAAACGATTATTTTATTTCGAAATCTTATGAACGTGGACTTGGCACGGTTTTTTTTTACAGTGAAACTGTTTTTGTTCGGATTTTAATTACAGAAGAGAAATTTTGATCATAATCTGTCACAGAAAATTTTTTTACTAATAATAAATAATAAGCGTAACCTGCTATATAAGTTTAATTATTTAAACTGCGAAGAAAAATTTCAACGCACCGGCTAGATGTCACGCAATGCAAATGACAGTTGTAAAAAATCTAAACTGGAACGTAACCTATAATATTTAGTTAATTTTAACAATCAGCTGACAATCAATTTTTGTAATAAAGAATAATTAAAGTCATGGAAAATCCTAGAGAAAAACTAGAAAACGTCATAATCTTTCGTGGGTTGTGCTATGAAGAAGTTCGTGACTCAATAATGTCAAAAGAGTTATCTGTTAACACGGTGGTGAAAATTCATAAAAAAGATCGAACTAAATATCCTAGTTCAGAATTCTTACTGCTAACCAGTCACCATGAATATTATTTTCCGTATTCCGGACCCGAAAGAAATTTCTTCGAATTTACTATTCTTCACTTGGCTCTTTATTTAGATGACGATGAATTCGTAGACTTCCTCCTAGAGAACAATGCTGACACGACTCTGGGAACAGAACATTTGGCACCGGTAATCATGTCGGCGATAAAGTTGAACCGCTTGAAGTATGTCCAGAAATTAGTAGCAGCTGGTGCTGATGTAAATCAGATTATCAGTGTAAGAGAAACATATGAGAAATATAGTGATATGCTTAATAATGATGGTAATTTTAATAATAATACTTGTTATAATGAGTATACACCACTGGAATTTGCTGTCTATCTGAATGCATATGAGATTGCTGAATTTCTCATCAGCAAGGGCGTTGATGTTCACGGTAGAGATTCCAATGGAAATGTTGACGACTCGCCGATGAGTATCGCTGCTTCATCCAACAACGTAGAAATGATTAAATTGCTGATTAAACATGGTGCTGATATTAATGTTAGAGACTACTATGGTTTGACTCCTCTGATGAAAGCAGCTTTTGAGAATGATAACTCTGCCAGTCGCAGGTTTTTGCTAACTCAATCTTCCATAGAAATAAATTCTCTGACTAATGACAAGAGATCTTGTCTTCATTTTCCAGAGCCTTGGTGCATGGAGGATGACCCAGTTGATCCCGAGTCTAGTCTTCAAGATCTTCTGGATGCAGGTTGTGATGTTAATATTGTGAGCAAACATATATATGGCAAATTACCGATTGATACCTATGGAGACAAAGAAAAGTGCCTTGAGGTCATGAAGAAGCATATTGTGAAGCTGATGGCGGCTGGCTTTTACATCTGCGATAGGAATAAAGAAGTTATTTCAGGAAGTGAATTAAGAAATTTCAGAGTTGAATGTGATACAGAAATTGAAGTCATGAAGAATACTTATGGAATAATGGCTGGATTTTCCTTGTTTGATATACTCCACAGATCTTATCACAAAATGGCGCTGAGGTTCAAGGATGGAGATGAAGACAAGTTTGACGACAAAATGGCGGCCAAGTTTCCTCTGTACGCAGGAATGATTAAGTATCGCTTGGAAAAAGCTGGTCAGCGAAGAAAATTGTTTAATCAAGTTGAAAATATTCTCTATAAAGTTTTCTCTAGATATCTTCCTGCTACTTTCATTCATGAAATGTTTTTTTATTTTAGTAACTTTGAATTGAGTAAATTAGTGGAAATTAAGTAAGCGGATGATAAGTTTTATTATTTATCATTTAATTTCATTTATCATTTGTTTTTTTTTCAGTAATTTCGTAAATTTTTGGTTGAACTATTAATATTTATATGCTTGTTAAAGTTTTGTATTTTTGCTAATTAAATCTGATACTTTTTTTAATAATAAAATAAATGAAGAAGTTACAGAAGAATCATTTTTTAATTTATTCATTATTGTAATATTGGATTTTTATAGTCATTAATTTAATTGTTTAACTTTAAAATATGTGACACAACGTTTTGCAACTTCCGCAGCTTCCTCAGGTACTACAACAAATAATAATGATAATTACAATCCAATTATATACAAAAATAATACCAAATTAGTAATAATGTAAGTAACAGATCAAACTAAACTAACTTAGATACACTAATAAAAATTACCTCAATTATAAACATCAACTTTTAAATTTATGTTATAATAATCTCGGCGTTCATACGACTTAAAATTCCTTCTGTTTTTAGTATAATCTGACAATACTTTCAAATAATATGAAATTGTCAATTATTAATAAAATAAAGTATGAAAATTGGATAAGAACGCTAATAACTTTAAATTTAAATTTGTGCAAGCCGGGACATCTACCGATGGCCGACGGGAACTACAGACACGGACGAATGGAAAAGTGACTAGAGCCTTTATGGAATACTACTACTACGACTACGACTACTGTAAGTGAAAGTTGTGAAAAATCTAAACTGAAATATAACCTATAATATTTAGTTAATTTTAACAACCAGCGGATAATCAATTTTTGTAATAGATAATAATTAAAGTCATGGACAATCTTAGAGAAAAAATAATTAGTATTTTTCTTACCTGGGGCAGGAAAATAAGAAATGTCTCAGATTACATGTAATTGTTGACCGAGGCGAAGCCGAGGTCGACAAACATGTGATCTGAGGCTTTCTTATTTCCTGCCCGTGGTGAGAATACTATTTTTCTCCTCGACGGAGGCGGAAAGCGGCATTTTCGTTTAGCGCAGCGAGCGGAAAATTGACGCTTTCCGCACGAAGGGGAGAAAAAGACTTTATAATCTTCCGTGACTTAAGTCAATTGAACTACGAACAAGTTCGTGACTATATAATGTCAAAAAAGTTATCTGTCGACACGGTGGTAAGAGTTTATGAGAAAGATCGATTTAAAATTCCTCATTTGAAATTATTACCACGAATCAGACCCAAAAAAGATTTCTTCGAATATACTATTCTTCACTTGGCTCTTTATGTACATGACGACGAATTCGTGGACTTCCTCCTGGAGAACAATGCCAACACGGAGCTAAGGACAGAACATTTGGGACCGGTAATTTTATCGGCGATAAGTTTAAACCGTTTGAAGTACGTGAAGAAATTAATAGCAGCTGGTGCTGATGTCAATCAGATTATTTGTGCAAAAGACACATATGAGGAATATAATGGTAGGCTTAATGATGAAGATAATTTTAATTTTCATCTTGATTATCATGAATATACACCTCTAGAATTTGCTGTCAATCATAATGCATATGAGATTGCTGAATTTCTCATCAGCCAGGGCGCTGATGTTCAAGAAAGAGATTTCAATGGAGAGAGTACCGATTCGCCGATGGGTATAGCTGCTTTGGCAAATAACGTAGGAATGTTATGAAATTGCTGATCAAACATGGCGCTGATATTAATGCTGGAGACTTTAATGGCGTGACTCCTCTGATGAAAGTCGCTTATGAAGACGACAACTCAGCAACTCTTAGGTTTTTGCTAAGTCAACCTTTTATAGAAATAAATTCTCTGACTCATGACAAGAAATCTTGTCTCCATCATCCAGAGATTTGGTACGTAAAGATTACCGTTGATGAACCTGAGTCTATAATCTTCAAGATCTTCTGAATGCAGGTTGTGATGTCAATATTGTGAGCGATCATGGCAAATTACTGATTGATACCTATGGAGACAAAGAAATGTCCCCTGAGATTATGAAACAGCATATTCACTGTTAAAAATAGTTGTAATTATACCAAATATTTACTATACAAAAGTTTAGTATAATTACAAATTTTGGTATACTAAACAAGAATTACTATATCTAAGTAAGAAATTTACTAAATACAATTGTAATATTCACATATTTATTGTAAGTGTACAAAAAAAAATAGTAACTTTACTATACAATTGTATTCATCAGATACAAGTTGTAAATTTACTATCTTATATTCTAAATTTACTAGAAGAAGATTTGTAATTTTACTATACAATTCGTAAATTACTTTCAGAGATGTTTCTGTAAATTTACAATTTTTCTG